TTCAATATGTTTAAGCTTTCTGCACAGAAGCTCTAGCAAAAACAGACCTTATATTGAATGAAACTATTGACTATGTGACTGCGCAGTGGGAAAGCAACAAACCCTATCAAACCCCAACAAACATTTCATTACTTCTTAAATGGGTCTTTCTTTGACCTTTTTCAGAATTTAATGGAAACATACATGTGGAGCATCAGATTAGCTGGCCTTCTTTCAAAGGAAACACAGCAAGTATCTTTCTTATTCTGTTCTTATTTTCAGTAGAAAATATTATGATGATAATTTGCACGGTGGCCATGCAAAACTGGTTTCAAGGACACTACTACATGGATACTGAGGTGTTCCAAGTGATTTGTTCATGTTGCTATGTGGTTGCCAGGGTGTTCTGGGTCATTGCTTGGGAATTGCTACATGGCTGCTTACTTGTCCAATCCCAAGTCTCTATTCTGGTCTCCAGATAACGCTTTTTTAGTTGTCTAGTTGGTAGAGTAATAGTCAAATTAGTTGATTTATACAAGTTTAAAACAACAACACTAGTACTGGCTTGATAATATTTTAATATTTTTGATTTTAAAACGTGCTTATTATGCAATTTTAAAGGTTCCTAATTTTGTTTTAGAGATCTCCTGAATTTGGTTTACATGCATCCAAGGTAAAAAAAACAAAAACAAATTCTCATAATATACATTGCAGCATCCCCTCTTTTCTCACAATGTCTGAAACAGTTTGATAAAAGATTTGGTCCATCTAAACACCTTCTTTCAAAGAGCCTACACTCCTCTGATTGGTCAGATGGCCTGGTCTGTTGTGATTGGTCTACTGCTTACTGCGCATGTCGGAAACAAAACACCTATTACCATATCTGAATTTCAGGTATGGTCGAATCATTCCGGTTGCCATTTTACAACATTGGAAGTTTTCAAAAACATTTCCCCATGTGCACTGACCAGTGAGTTGAAACTCATAATATGCAAAACTGTTATCCACTCACAACAGTGGGCGTTTACTTCCAAGTCTTCAGTGCGAGATGCCCATAAAAACGTGTTTTTCAGCTAGGCTCAAAACTAGGGTAGAAAATTGCCTATTACTTATTCATTTAGATGTTTTTTAATGTAAAAACCAAGGGAACATCATAAGTTGACCTCAGACAACAATATAAAAAAAAAAAAATTTAAATACCTGTTCATGACCCCTTTAATTCTTACAATTTATTATCAGCTAAACAAACTTTTTTTTTGTCTACAGTCAATCCCAATGGGGTTCATGGATGTTTTGGATCCCACTGACTTTAACTGTAAGGCAGGGATGCAAACAAATGTATGGTCAAAAAAGAGAGAGGTAATCGTAGCCCTCGCCCCGTGGAAAATATCCAGAAACTTACATAGCCACCAACCCCTGCCATCCCCAGCCCACCCTTAGGCACATATAGTAAATATGTTTCAGCCTTCCAATCATTTTTACACAAAAAAAGGTGTTACTAAAAATAAAAACCTCCTATATTTCAGCCTTTAAATCATTTTTATAAAAAGAATGAGTCGAAAAATTAATTACTTGACATTTAAATGAATGCACATTAGGTTATCTTTTATTATTAATAGTAAAACTCAGTCCGATTTTCCCGTGGCTTCTGTCATTGCTAAGCATCCATGCACTGCACTCTACATATCACAACGACAAAGAAGTTTTAGTAGCTAATAGATTTTCACCAGCAAAAACCACTTGCTGTAGCTTTGCTACAAGATTTATTTACGGAGAAGAGAAAAACACCGGTAGTGTTTGGGCGCACCCCCATCCTTCATGTTTACTGAGCTTTCAGTGGTGGTTGGTTCTTGTCACATGAAATGCGATGCGCTTGCGGCATTCTGAAATTTGAAGTTTTCGCGCTTGCCGCATGCCTACATTTGAAATAGCGAACTTGAGAGCGCAAAAGACACAATATGTGAACGGCACAATGGCGTTTATTTAGTCTCAGAACTCATGCACAGGATACAAGGGCAAAAAACAGTATACAGGCGCAGAATACCATCCACTCGCGGGCGCCTTTCTGCACAGTGAATGCACACGATGCCACCCTCGCCCCTTGACGAGCTAGTCAGGCCACGAGTTAGTGGAAGAAACACTAGTGATTCACGCTTGCGTGCATACTGCTGTTTTGGCCCGCAGTGTTCTGAGTCTGATTTGCTTATTTCTATTTACTTGTTTGGTGGAGGCAATCCAGAATTATTGTTGATGAAATTATAAATCAGACACCCCCCACCCCCACAAAAATCTCTTCGGATCTGCACGATTCACACAAGTCACCCAAACTGACGTGAAAAAGAGCGGGAGGCGCAGAAAAGCACGCTGTTTGCATCCCTGGTGTGGACAAAAAAAGTTGAAACATTTGTTCTGGATAAGAAAGTAAGTCATACAGGTGGGCAAGTGTTTTAGGTTGAAACATAACATGCACCATCACTAATAAAAATACTAGTACAGTCAGAATTTCTAAAACCAAAGTGTGCAAACGTAAGTGAAGCCTGAGCTGACATGGAATAGGAAGATATCATGTCTTCCAGATAAAAACTGAATAAAGAAAAGTAAAGAATGTTTCAACTGCAAACCTAGAGCACTCATCTAACAGGAAGAGCAGTGACAGAAGTGCCAAAACTGTCTCCAAAATCCAGTGAGAAACAATCTTTTTGACAACAAGCCTCTATTATCTGCGTAACCTGTGATAAGACAGTTTGCCAGCAGCTGTCTTGTTCATGGAGCCTCTATCACATTTTGCAGCTCTGAGATGGAAATGAAGCATATATTTTTCACAGCGGTGCAGTTTTGTTGAACAAAAAAAATGAACTGCACATTATGTTTTATGGACCCGTATGAAGGAAAAACTTCATGGAAAGAATTTAATATTTGTGAAAACTGCACTGAAAGCATCACACTTTCCTTTAAAGCATCTGACAGAGGAAACGTCCATACAATTGCATTGTGGTTCTATTCTTGGAAAACAACTTAAACCTCAATCAGCTCCTTGTATGCATTGATTTTTAATGTACTCGACATGATCACACTGAATGTTTTAGGCTGTAATACAGTCTGCCTGTGGTTTTGAACTGTCTGAGGTTGGAAGGCTAAATGATTCCTCTTTCATCTCCTCCTTTCATGATGATCCTGAACCACACACACATACCAATCAACAGATGCAGCAATTTAATTTATCCACAAGGCACCTTGAAGGAGCGTTCTTAAAGGAGATTTTCCTTATTAATGTCCGATAGTACATCATCAGTTTGACCACAAACAATACGGCCTGATTCACTTTACTGTGACTACTCATTAGTTCACATTACATCACATTATTGGCGTCATAACCTTCGTAAACCGTCATTTTCACTTTTGCTGTTCTGCTGTTGAAAGTGTTCATGATGTAGGGGGATTTTTTTTTTTTTAAAGTAGGCCTAAGAAAAGTACAAAATAATGAAGCCAAACTGATGCATAATGTATAAGTGTAGGTTATTGTGGAAAAGAACTGTGTACTCTCGGTAAGAAACCATTTGACTGAAATGTCAATGGATTTAAGATCACAGTGATTAGTTTTTCCTCGTAACCTGGTGCACTCCTACAAAAAAAGAGGTTCAATGATGTTCTATATAGAACCCTAGGGTCATGACATGACATTTTAAAAACTCTATATTCCAAAAATGGGGAAATGTCGCAAAAGAAATAATTAAACCAAAAAAAAAGAAGAAGAAATAATTAAACCAAAACTAAATCCACAAAATGATTCCATGATGAGAACCGTTCATTTTTTTTTTTTTTTTTTGGATCAGCAAGAAAAAGAGATTGGGGGTGGGGTAATTTAGCTTTCCATTTATTACTTAAAGGGGTGGTATAATGCCCCTTTTTACAATATGCAAAATAAATCTGTTGACCCCAGTGTGTATGTGTAGTTTTACCTCAAAATACCCCACAGATCATTTTGTTCAGCATGTTAAAATGGTCCCTTTTTGAGGGTCAGTTAAAACGTGTTGTTTTGTGCGTCCCTTTAAATGCAAATGAGCTGATGCTCTCGGCACAGAGGGTGGAGCTTCAATAGCGTGTTCATGTGTGTGTTAATGTTTGTTTAAGCTGTGTTTTGTTGTTTGATTAACATGACAGACAACAGCTGGTATTTATAGATTGCTGTCACTTTAAGACCCCATGCATGCACAGATTCAGTATAATGATACACATCGATTTCTTGCTCAAACACTTAATACTGTATTAATATACGGCACAATATTGTAAGTTTCCGCCGCTAGGTCGCATTTTCAAAACAATAATAATTGATGATAGAGAGTGGAACGATGGGAGAAGTCATTTTCACTATCCAGAGATGTATGGAATTCATGAATCATGTTCACCGATGAGGTAACATATTAGTTTTTGTATTACCTGAACATTTGAACACACTATTTTAACATTTGATCATACTATTTTATGTATATTTCATTACAATATAGCAAATGTAATGCTATATTACCCTGTTACTGATATGTGATTACTTGTCAAATGATTTGGTTGGTTAATGCTGCGCAGTTTTACACGTTTAAAACAATCGTACTAAAAGTAAATTTGAACGAACCCACAGTATTTGCAAGTAAAGACTAAATATTTTTGTGCAACACATACTGTATTTAGTTTCACTGCCATAGTCTTGGTCACCAGACATAATTAAAAGCATTACTGTGATAAAAACCTGTGCACCTAGACTCCAGAGTTGCAATGCAACCAGGAAAGCCCTTCAGACTTTGAGATTTTCACAAGAACATCCCAGTTTTGTCTGCCTATGCTTTAGATGGTCAGAACGTCGGCAGAATGTAAGCGGTGTTGTTTATCGGTACAGAAATTAAATGTCTTGGAATATTTCAATCTATTATTGGTATTCTTAATCCAACTTCTAACATCTGAACAACTAGTTCTTCTAAAGAAATGGGGTCATTTAAAATGAAGAAGTGAAAACATTTGTAGTACAGTACCTCTCTCTGTTCACTGCAGATCTTGCAAAGCCATTGAGCCCTTTTTTGACTGCCTGGTGTCTCGATTCCGCATTTGGTGCACACCTTCTGCAACACAAACATGCATAGGTATAGAACAGGTCAAACAAACACAACCTGATAACTATTGTAAAATAAGAGTACGTTATTTTAAGAACTTCTTTTTTTATGGCAAAAAATGGCTACTGTCACTAGTAGAAAGGGGCACTAGGTAACGGACTGTGTTTGGAGTGAAGTGAAAAGGTTATTGTTAGCAATGTCTGAGTGCAGTGAAGCTCCAGCCTCAATGATTATAGAGAAGAGTTGCCACTGCTTTTGGTACCAGCACAGTGCTAGATTTAGACTGCTTTTATTAACCTTTGTTTGAAACAAGGTCTCAGACACGTTATTTGCACATCCCAATTTTAACCCCCCATCTTGCACGCCAGCTACCGCTTCCCATCCCGGTGTGATTCTCCTAATGACTATTTGGGTCCCTATTAAAATACTTTTTTCTTTTCTTTTTTTGAGAGAGTGGTGGATGAAGCACACAAATCAAGTGCTTGAGTAAAAGAACAGATACCCAAACATATTACTCTAGAAAAAGTATCAAGTACTCCTTTTCAATTTTACTTTCAATAGAACTTGATTATTAATATACCCAAGTAATAAGAGTAAAAAATACTGATTAATTACAATGTTTATTTATTTTTTGCAATATTATAAACACCATCCTACTGCTCAAAATACGTATGGGGGGGAGGACGGTGTCAATGTATTACTATTAATTTCCTTCTCTGTGGGCTTCACGAATTCACGCAACAGTTCTGTGTTGTACGTCACACGTAGGCTCACTATTGGCCGACGCTGGTTATGTGTGTGATGCGTGTGACGTACAACCTAGAAGCGTTGCGCAGTTCCACTACGTGAAATCTCGAGATCAACAGAGAAGGAAATGAATAGTTGAATAAAGTCATTATTTTTGTTTGTTTTTTTGCACACAAAAAGTTCTCGTCGCTTGATAAACTGAAGATTGAGCCACTGTAGTCGCTCTGACTATTTTAACGATGTCTTCCATAACTTTTGGGCCGGCCAGTTTCGATCCCTTAAGAAGCCTATGGAGGAGTGATCCAGCTCTCAGATTTAATCAAAAATATCTTAATTTGTGTTCCGAAGATAAACGAAAGTCTTACGGGGTTGGAACAACGTGATGGTGAGTAAATACTGACAGAATTTTCAATTTTTGGGTGATCTAACCCTTTAACAGTTGTTTTTAAGATTGCATTTGATTCGCCAAGTTTACCTGCACGATAATTGGAAATGAAATTTAATAAGTGGAAGTAAAAACATGTCCACCCTGCAATTGCCCAGATTGTGAGAAGCATCGTCCCCCTCCACACTAAAATTAAATTACAGTGGGAGATATTACTGTAGACTCTGACGGCTTGGTTTTTAAGAATCAATTTGAAGTTGAGGGCTGTGATACGCCGTAGTGATAAGAAAAGAGAAAGAACCTTTAATCAGGCTTTATGTAATAGAAGACAAACACTAGATTGAAGTGCAAGTAATTTAGTTTCAGCAGAACTTCTATATCCTAAAATTGCTTTGAGAGAGTGAGCGAGGGAGGAACAAAGAGAAAAAAATCTGTTCAATTTTCGTTAAATACTTCTAAAGATCCCTCTGTGAGCGAGAGCCATCTTTAAAGCTGCTGTAAGCGGTTTAAAACCATGCATAAAATGTCCCTACTGCCTGACAGACATCACTGAATTGGGTGTCTTGAGAAATCGCACTTCACTCTGTGACAGCTCCAGGCTCTGTAAATGAAAAAAAAAACCTGACTACAGCCTGCATTTCTTAAAGGTGCCCTAGAATGTGAAATTGAATTTATTTGGGCATAGTTAAATAACAAGAGTTCAGTACATGGACATGACATACAGTGAATCCTTATTACTTAATTCTCGTTTTTGGAAAAACACTCCTAAAAAACAGGCGAATCTCCACATAATACCGACTGTGACGTAGGGCTGGGCGATATGGCCAAAAAATCATATCTCGATATTTTTTGTTCAAATGGCGATATACGATATATATCTCGGTACTTTCTACGTTTTCTATTTAGATAAAGAAAATCTTTATATTTTTTTTTATATTTATATCTTTATATTATTATAAAAATAATAATAATAATAAAAAAAATATATATATATATATATATATATATATATATATATTCACATTCGGCCCAATGATATCCTACAAACAATGTTGATATTGAAGGATATGGAAACAAATATAATATAGGCTATGCAATATATTATGTGCAAAAAACTTTTGTTTTTATATTGACTAAAGGCTAAACTAAAAATGAAAATAAAAACAAAAACAAAAGCACAAACTAATTATATTACCCTGCATTTGATTACCCCATTATAATCACTTTTAATTTCATTAAAAATATATACTTGTAGGTTTAAAATTCCACATATGACACATTTATTTTCTCCAACAAGAAATATTTTAGCAATATGTTTATTTTAGTCAGAATTATTGCGTACTACGTAGTACTATTCACGCGCATGCGCGCGCCGGCACTCGTTCAAGGAAGCATGAATTTTAGCGGAGATTCACTTGCAGAAGCTCGTCCTCTTCGGACATGGACATATTTGTTGTGAAATGGACATATTTGCTTTACTTTCTAACTTTTACAGATGGAGAATATACCTGTGAAATGTAAGTTGAGCACTGAGGAAAGCACCACATCTCAAACGCATTAAACAGCGCAAGTATATCTATCAGTCAGCAACAGTGTCTGTCAGAGCATTTGACAGGGCGGCAAGCTGCCTTAAACTTGTTAACTATATCAAAGTGATTTTGACGCAATTAATATAAGCTTGTGTCATGTTTAGGACAAATTGTACCACGTAGCCTAGCTACTTTCACCGCAGCAGCTCACACTGCAACCTCCGCTATTTTTCAGATGTGCTCATATCAAACTACTGTATCGATATAAACGGTATTGCCTCATTCCATATCGTTTCAAAAAATATAACGATACATCGTACATACTCGATATATCGCCCAGCCCTACTGTGACGCAACAGTCGGGATCATTAATATGTACAACTCCAAACATTTGCATATGCCAGCCCTATGCCAGTTCAATGACAGGCAGAACTGCACAGCCGAAGCATGGCATTTGATCAGTGTTCGGATGTACAAATGAACACAAAAGTATTTTTTATTTGTTTCATCCGAGCCTCTAGAAAAACAATGGGTTAATTTTATTTTCTCTGGAAATAACAAACATTCCACCGACGACTGGTTCCGCAGCTTGGGCCAAGAGCTGGCCTCGGACAGGTATTGTTCACAATTCATGTATGACTTTAATGAAAGGTTTGATCCACTTCAAATGTTGATTGCTATATTTCAACTTAATATTATCCCTAAATATTTCCCAGTCTTAGTTTTGTTTACGAGTTCAAAGTTAACTTGCCTTTTTTATTTCGATTTTATTTGATCTTCAATCAAAATAACTTCACCTCCTCCTTGCAGGGACATCTTCTCTTCTCTGATGCGTTTACTGGCACGAGGGCGGGACAACATGTCACTCACATGAGATCGACCAATGGCAAAACGTCTGATCAATTCCGATTGGACAAAACTACATTTTTTCTTGTTCAAAAAGGGGTTTCACTCGGATATACGTCACAGCAGGGAAAACAAGACTAAAGATTTATTTGTGATAGGGCAGCAACCACCATTACAACTGTTTCATGCCAGCTTTAAGAAGCTGATAGGCTGATGATTATTTTGTATGGCATAAAATGGCTGATATTACAATCCAAAATCGTTAAAAAAAAAACTTTTTTAAAATGATTTTTTTTTCTTTTGTGATTGAATTTAGGCATCACACCATTATAATGTACATCCATAAAAAAAGGATAAAAATGGATATTCATTTTGAGATTGCACTTAACAGTGTCAGTAATTAAATGATTAGTGTTTATAGATTAAAAGCAAGGGAGTGTTAGATGACAGCAAAGGTAGCCTAATCTAAATTAGGAGAGCATGCATGCACAATTAAATATTCAAAATCAATCAATACAGATAAGAAAAAAAAAATCTTTAATATGAGCTGAAAACAGATCAATTGTGCATCTCATACTCACGGTTTGTTTCTATTATATTTCAGCATGTAACTCGACAATTTGTACTTCAGAGATGAATGATACTTCAAAACATGCAGCTCTTAGTGGAATGACACTTTTTAAAGCAAAAAGTTATGATTTTTAAGACCACAGACCACAAAACTGCTGATAATCAGCCTACAGTAGTAACAGCCTAGCAACCATCCAAATCACAACTTGCTAAAAGCCACTCTAATGACCATAGAAGGCTGAAATGCTGCACATGTTCACCACAAATCTTATTTCAGCAATAACCCAGCATCAGATCCATATGGTATATGATCAACACACACCTATTGCACAGATTGTAATATAATGACTGCAGACAGAGGCATGATCTAATACCAATAATGATCAATTCATTAATTTCCCCTCCACTGTTATTCCAGTGAGGTTTCGAAACAGCAGCTGTTGAGAATAATCACAGGTCATGAGAGAGCAGGAGTGATGTGAGCTCAGGCTCCCTGTAACAGATGCTCTCTCCTCACTGGCACAGACCTGCTGTTAAGGACTTTAGCACTCCTTAGTCCTGTGTCAAGTCACACAGTGTGTCTGTCTCGAAGTAAACTACAAACTGTAATCCCGAAGTTCAGTGGAAAGTATCTGTCTGATGCCAAAATGTGCAATGACAGTAAACTGTTGCTTATAAGTTACACACTACCCTCTTGTGGCTTGATGGCTTTTCTAAATTGGTGAAGTTCAAATGGTGCACTGAAATCTAAAGGCATGCAGCATTTTAAAAGAATAAGTATGTTTAAAGAAGGAATATTGTACAGATAAACCCTTTCGACTAATAAAAATAACATGCTTCATCCCGGTCTGCCCTGAGCACAGATCTTAAAGGGATACACCACTTTTTTTGGAAATAGGCTCATTTTACAACTCCCTCAGGGTTAAACATTTGGGTTTTACCGTTTTCGAATCCATTCAGACGATTTTCTGATATTTAGAAGAACATCAGTGACCAGACAGTTTCTGGTCTCATTGACTTCCATAGTAGGAAAGAAATATACTATGGAAGTCAATGAGACCAGAAACTGTCTGGTTACTGATATATTCTTCTAAATATCAGAAAATCGTCTGAATACTTTCGAAAACGGTAAAAACTCAACTGTTTAACTCTGGGGGAGTTGTAAAATGAGCTTATTTCCAAAAAAAGTAGAGTAACCCTTTAAATCTAATCAGAAATTCAAAACCACAATACATAAAACCCATATTAAACTCCTGAGGGAACACATGATGCATGCTCTTTTTTAATGCAGCATATATTTAATGCAGTAATTAATGGGATTATTATTTAATATTTACATGAATTAGATGTAGATTTTAGACATCTTCACTTTTATTATAACCTATAAATTTGATTTCACTGTGTTACTATTATGACATATCTTCAATTGAAAATATGCCTGTATACAAGTCATACAATAATATTTACTTTCAGATTAACCTCTTTTACTGCGATTCAATTATTGGTTTTTCAATTATTGCCCAAAGAAAATTATACTTAGAATAGTGTATTTAGTATTTTACATTAAATGACACTTGAAAATATATATATATATATATATATATATATATATATATATATAAATATATTAATAATTTTATCAAAAATAGTGTAAAGTTTTATGGGGGGGGGTGTCTTCTAAACCTTTAATATTTTACATTTTGTGCTATAACAACTAAATAAGCAAAATTTTCTATAATAAAACATTTGCTGATGCATCATCAACCTGCACATGCTAAACTGTCTAAATATGTATAATATATATATATAAATATGTTAGTTTAAAAGTAGATCCACATTTGTTCTTAAAGGGGGCATCTTCCCCCATGTTACCCTACAGTATACACATGTACTGTGCACAGAATACAAATGTACTGTATGCACAGATTACTTTCAGACCATCCTTGATTATACAGCTCTCTGCTGACACTATGTGGTGTCTCAGAATCACTGCATGAGCCCAAAGATAGTTACTGCAAATGACTAAGCAGTGAGTGTGAGTGGTAGAGAACAAGTTTAGAACATTTAGACCAGTTTGTACCATGCAGCAGTCCAAACAGAGGACGGACGAAGAGCCCAGCAGACCAAACACCTCTCCACACAGCAGACACTGTGAAAGGCCGTTTCCCACAGCAGACCTCCTCATGTTCTCCAGCCGCTCCACTAGAACCCTGAAACACACACACACTCATCTTTATTTAAAAGAACATAACTGATATATCTTTAGTTATCAAATTAAGCTGTACACCTGCTGTCACTGTGAAATCTTTTGGTTCTTTAAGACTGATATCCTAATTATTTGGAGTCCCTGAGACCCCCTATGCTGTATTCTGTTTTAGTATTCTCTGAATATTATTCTTCAGCTTTCAGTCTGTAAATTGTACCTTATTAGTTTGTGTTCCTCTATTTGTTTGCATTCCTAAGGTCCTGTTTGTATCCCTAACCTAACTTTGAAAGTGACCTCTTTAATTTACTCTTCAGCACTTGGTATTATTGTGCTTTGTTATGGATATTTATTTGGTTCTGTTCCTCTAACCTATCTTTGTAAAGCAACCCTGGGCTTTTTATGGGCGCTATATGAATAAAAATGATTATTATTATTATTAGAATGATTTCTGAAGGAAGACTAAAGTAATGGCTGCTAAAAAAATAAGCTTTGCATTCACAATAAAAAAATTAATTTTAAATTGTATTCATATAGAAAAGTTATTTTAAATTGCAATACTAGTTCACAATATTGTACTGCTTTAATGTTTTAAGTGACACCTTTCAAAAACATTGATCAACATTGACCTTCAACAGGTCTCATGCTGATGAAGGTCATAAGACCGAAACGTTGCCGCTAAATTAAAGTTTTATTTGCAAGTTCTGATAGTGTGCGGGAGTTCCTAATTGTAGATTCTCGTCCATTCTTGGTCTTCCTTTCCTACACACTTATTACCTACAGGTGTGCGATGGCGTTTGTTTATTAAACAAACTTTTTAAAACATGAAGCATAAATCTTGTTTATAATCAATTAGGGAATATTTTTGAATGGTCATGGTTTATTCCCTTATTTTCCCCTGAGATGGGAGAAATAAGGATTTAAGTGGTTTGCTTCCTGCTTATTATGACGTAAAAATCGTCATTTTGCGTCATAATAAGCAGGAAGTCACATTTCATTGAAAAGTCTAGAGCCTACAAACATTAGTTCAATATTATTCAAGGGTGTGGGACCCACTCCCCCTATAGGCCTATTACAGATCAGTGGGTTTCACTTGCAGAAACTGAAATCAGTATCCGCCATCTTGTTTTTGGAAGTTAAGCTAACAAGCGCTGTGGAGATAGTAAGCATGATAATAATGGAAGAAACTAAACATGATATTGAAGAAGAGGATTTTGAAATTCTGCTGCTCGAACCTGATGTTCGTGGCTATCATTACGAGCCACAATATAGTGAAGAGCAGCTGCGGCTGATGGAGGAACAGGAGGCGGCTGCCTGTCGCGGTCGAGGAGCCCGGACTGGCTCGAGCTGAGGACGAATTTGACGAAATCTCTGAATCAGACGAGCCCACGGACGTTTGTGTTGTGATGTGAACCATCCAAGTTGAACTGACTGAACATCCAAGTATCATGCAGTAATACACCATATTTACAAATAAATACAAATGAGGAGTAAATCACTAATAAGTTTGCCAATGTAATGTTAACGGGGTTTGTTGTTGTGGGAAGAAGGAGGCGGAAATCGGCGAACATTTAAACATTTTAATAGAAAAATGAACAAATACAAAACGAAAGTATAAGCCAACAGCCCCTCATTGACGTATTATTGTACGACTAATTGTCCACACACAACATAAAATCAGGCCTGTTTCTCTCTCAATCTGCCGTTTATGCTCCCGCTCCTCCATGAGAGATACAAGACCGGTCGGTGCGTCTCTGTCTTTCATCATCACTCACGCCACTGGGCTCGCGCCGCTCTCACATCCCTTGTCCTGCTCGCCAAAGCCAACTAACTAGAAATTTTGCGTGAAATGAATTTCAAACTCTGGTGGCAGCTAACGTTAGCCTTGTTGACGAAAGAATGATTTCTCTGATGTGCACGCAGTTCCGCATTAGTGGGTGTGGCTTGTGGAGCTGTGCAATGCGGTGCATTGTGGGTGTTGTAGTCTTTCACACAAATGCACCCTTCGGTTATTTCTCTTTTCTATGTCTTTTCTCGGTCAAGAGGGCACCAAATTTAAAAATTATTATACATTTCGACTACATATATGATCCACTTCCAATAAAGATTAATGTTGAAATGGGTGAAATGCTCCTTTAAGCCAACCTGACAATATCAATTATTGTTTTTTGAGCCATTAAAAATTTTAATCCTTTAAATTCAGAATTAACATCAAACATCTGACGGGACATCGTGTGACAAGGCAGAACGATGCATGAAAAAGCACAAATGTGATGCAGAGTGATAAAGTCTCACCCAATCCGGTGTTGCTCAATGAGCTCGAGCTGCTCAGCGCGGTGGATGACACTCATGATGAGATCTAGCTCGGTTTTCTGAATTGTCTGAGCTTTCCTCTGTCTCTCTGACTGGAATGTGTGGATAGACCAGCCTGTATGTAACCTGCGTGGAATCCAGTCACACACACAGAGAGAAAGTAATTTTATTATAATGCAATATGGTTTATAATGCAAAAATGACACATTGAAAAGAATTGTGTATTTCAACACACATTACATTGGGTGGTTTGTCAAATGACATGCTGAAATTTGCACAACAGAATAAAAAAAAAAATCACTTACTTTGCTCTAAGCGTTAGTTGTCTGTCATTGGGACAGACCCACTGCTCATTCTCACTGCCAAACATAGTGTCTGTCATGTTTCACTGTAGAGCTGTAATAGAGCAGAATGACAAGTCTAAAATCATAAAACAATCAGGTATTTTATAGAGTAGTAGGTTTGAGAATGTAATTGTCAGGATATATAAAGGTGAACAAAATAGCATTCACCTTAGACATCACAGCTGTTCAGTGGCTTTGACAGGTATTGTCTGTTTGTTGTGATAGAGCTTACATTTAAGTATGCAAAAGTGGGAGGACGTGGCTCAATTATTGGGATTATTCATCTCACAACACCTGCCAAATGAGTTTCGGAAACCAAACACGAAGACATATTGTGGTGTCTGTCTAACATAAGAGTCCCCAAATGGAAGAATATTGTCCATTTACATTTAATAAATAATTGATGAGTTGCATGCAAGTTAAAGCGAGACACAGCAGGTGAATAGGATAAAATTTGAACTTACAGATGTCACCTTAAAACTTTGCCAGTTGATTACTCGCATAAATAGGAGGAAAAAAATGTATTGAAAGTTTTCTGTAATTTTATGTTTAAATATGCTAATCAGGCTATATCGAATTAAATATGTGCTAATTTGCATATATTTTGAAGTGACGAATCTGACCATTGAAAAAAACAAACAAATGGTTCAAAATTATGTATGCATTTTGTTGATATATTCAATGAACAGACATTTTCAGACGGGATTATGAATATCTCCTTTTGTTACCCTGTAAATCAGAAAATAGCCTTAAAAAATAGATTTCCGCCCTATTTTTAAGGCATAAAACGTCATAAATCAGGCCAAGAATGATATATCCGTCACGGGTCGTAGGAAGGATGACGGAGATCATCAATGTAGAAATAACACTTTCTTTAATATACTAAAACTCAGGAACAGGATAACAGGTGCGACAGCGTGTTAAACAAAACAATACTGGACAGTGAAGTGAAGACAGGCAGGAACTTAAATACGCAGTGAAGATGATTACAAAATGACAGGCAGCTGTGAGGGAAGTGATCAGTGTCCATGGATACAAACTGGTGGTGGGAAACTCGACGGGGAACACATGTAGCAAATCCAAACAAACAGAAAGTCCAAAGAAGCCGAGTGGTGATGTATCGCCCCCCCTCCGGGAAGGCGCATACTCGCGCCGTAACAAAATGACAGAAGGGGGACCGGAGGAGGTTCTGGTGGTGGACGAAACAATGATGAAGTGCAGGAGACAGGCTTGAGTGACAGGGTGGTGAAGGGACGACGATTCCCTGACGGCCTTGATGGAGATGGCCCGGTGGTGCGGACCCAGAGCCTTCCAGTACCGACAGCCCACGGCAGAGTAGATGGAGGAAAGTGACCATATGGCAAGGAGACTGACGGTAGCTGGGGGATGACCGACGGAGACTCGCGGCAGGATCTCTCGGCGGAGACGGAGAGCCAGTGGACTCCAACGACGTAGTGGAAATAGGAGACCCCGGTGACATTTTGGCAACGAGTACTGGAGATGGAGCCAGAGTGCCTGAGAGAAGAGGCAGAGGTGGAGTAAGGGAGGACAGAGGTGACACCGAAGGGAACGAGGAGCCCGCTGAAGCCAAAGGGGTGGAGGGATGGAGCGTAGCGGACTGACCGTAAGTCCGTGGCGCAGGCAGAGAGACGACTGACCAGGGGGGAGCCGGCAGGACGAGGGAACCCGCTGCTGCAGCCGATGTTTCGAGGGACTCTGGTGGAGGCGCAGGTGGGAGGAGCCAAGACGGAGCCGGCAGGTCGATAGGCCGAGATGGAGTGCAGAGGACCGAGGCTGGAGGTGAAGCCATAAGATCCTCATGCACAGGCGCTGTGGATGGTGGGCTAACCTGCAGCTCGATGTCAGGGAGGCTCCTCGGAGATGGTGCAGGGCTGCGCACATCCAGCAGCGGCGGGGCTGGAGGACTGACTGAGATGGGTGTCACAATGGTATTGAACTGACAGAAAACAGGGCAGATAGAGTCACTGGACAAATCGGAAGATGATGAAGAAGCAGATGACGGGTGGGATAGGGCAGGGAGTGTAGCTTCGTAACTGAAGTTCATCAGCCAGTCCTCTTGTCCCATAGATCTGGTCTCCTCGTCCGCAGATGTTGTGGGCTGACATCCCTGGTCAGACTTCTGTTGGAGCTCCTCCTCCAGGGCAAGGGTCAGCTCTGTCCTCTTCGTCTCGGGCTCTGGCTGACGCGTTGCGGCGGGTGGTAGCTCTCCGTCTCAGGGGGGCACGCACGGGATCTCTGCGGTCGAGGGTGGTAATCTGGGCTCTGGGTCTGGCTGTGTTCTGGATCGGGCTGCAACACTCTCCAGATACCTTCAAATTCAGGTTTGAGGTGTCTGGGAGGTCGATACGCTGGCGGAAGGTAGCCCCGATCCAGAACAGAGTCTTCAGGGTTTTGTCGTCGAAGGGGGTGGTGAGTGCAAGAACAAAAAAGATCCTGGCTCTTCTGAGCAAGGGCGATGAACTCACAATCCATCTTGATTTATGTCCGGTATTCTGTCACAGGTCGTAGGAAGGATGACAGAGATCAAAGTAGAAATAACACTTTCTTTAATATACCAAAACTCAGGAACAGGACAACAGGTGCGACAGCGTGTTAAACACCGGACAGTGAAGTGAAGACAGGCAGGAATTTAGGCCCTGTTTACACGAGAACGCTCACGGGTGAAACCGTAAAAATATTTTATCGGATGTGCCTTTCGTTTACAAGGCGACGGCGTTTATGAGGATTAAAAACGCAAAAAAGTGAAACCACCCTCCAGAGTGGAAATCTTAAAAACGCTCCACCGCCGCATTCCCGTGTAAACGGTAAAAACGCAAAAGTCTGCTTGACAGTGAAGGTTGTACGCAGGCGCGTGGACTTGGTGTTGTTGTAGTATGCACTCCTAGCCACCTGAAGTGCATACTACATTGAATTTCACACACTTTTGCGTCACCATTTGCACGCGGATTTCCCACTAAACGCAGAATAAAAAGTGATGATGCAACGCCACTTTTGCGTTTTCTCTTCAGAATCGTTTTCCGTGTAAACATAGCCTTAAATACACAGTGAATATGATTACAAAATGACAGGCAGCTGTGAGGGAAGTGATCAGTGTCCATGGATACAAACTGGTGGCGGGAAACTCAGACGGGAACACACGTGGCAAATCCAAACAAACAGAAAGTCCAAAGAAGCCGAGTGGTGACAATAGCAACAAATCCCTCTGAACAAACCTTCACAATGTAGTTAGTTAGGAATACGGCTGTAAAGTTTGGTTTATGTAGGTGCTACAGAAGTGGAAAATCGTCACTAGAAGTGTGAGAAAAAACTCATTTTGAGAAAACGGCCTTTAAAGATTTTTATGGAATTGCGCATTACAAGTTAAATGGCCCATTTTACTTTCATTATTGGTTGCTGATAAACAGGAAATGACCATATTTGGATCCAACAGCATTGAAGAGGAGAGAGAGAGAGAGAGCTTTCTAACAGTGTGTGGATTGTGATCACTGAGCAGCGGGATGATTTAGAATGCCAACTTTTGAGGAATTTATGCGAAATCTACACACGAAAACTGACAAAGTGTAGTAAAATAAAGACCTAAATGTGTATTTTTGGACTTTTTTTCAGCACAAGTCTGAAAGACGACATGTTATTGAATACAAATAGCCCAAAATCGACCCGTGAAAAAAAAATAAAAAATTGTTTTTGCCTGCCGTGTCTCGCCTTAAATAAATAGTTGCGTTACGGAAACAATCCCCACAATAAAAATATTCCATTGAAATCAAATTATTTATAAAGTTATTTAAAATGTATAATTATTCTTATTATTAAGATGCCTTAAAACACAGGCAAATGATGGGGACATAATTTACTGTTGACACTGTTCTGTGTCATAACCTTTCAGTTAACTTTCACTGTGATTCATAAACTTTCAGTTAAAGCATCTACCTGACATTCTCTCATTCCCTTCCTTTCTAACACACATATACACACACAGAGAAAGATACAATCTACCCCTTTACGGTTAACCAGGGCAAGTCTGTTTACTTTTCCATGAGGAGAACTGCACTTTATTTGGCTCTGCTGCACACACAGGCCTCAGGCACAATGAAAACAGCTCCAAAAACGACTTTTGTTACACTAGAACACTTCACAGTATTGCGTTGCCTCTCAAACCAACACCTGTAATTCCAGAGAGAGAAACCTTGAAAGCTGCAAACTCTGGTATTTCCTTGAAGGAGAAGAGATATCAAGCCCTTTTCTTATAACAACCAAGTTACATGTTGTAGAAAATCGCTGACTGATAGATATCCAGTAGGATATCAAAGAAAACACACACACCTCTAACTATTACATTAACTATAGATCTCTGACTCAAGGCAAGGCACCTTTTTTGAAGATGTCAACATTCAGGTATATCTATTCAAGTCCAATCCACTCAAATGCTGATAGAAAACAGGCACAGACAGTCAAGAAAGTGTGTTTACCTTAAAAGAGGTCAGACAAAGTGGCGTTACTGCGGGCTTTGTCTCAGCTTAAGAAAATGAGAGTAGAGGAAACAAGGCAGCCGAGGAGGAAGAAACTCCTGATAACACTGATCTCAGATCAGGTTCGCTGCGTCTCTTGCAATGGGTCAGGTCACATGACCAGAGCACATTTCATCCAAAACATCCTGCTGCTCCACTGATTACAGTGATTGAATAAAGAAACAAAAGAGTGACGGCGATGAAGCCAAGCGGAGACAGGCCACCAAGGTGCTAGAGGCTAAAGGCTTTAATATTGACCTGGCCTTTAAAAATCAGTCAATATAAATCACAGTAATCTCATTCGCCTGGCACTAAATCGTTTAGAATAGCATATTAAAGGACAACTATATTGTAAAACTACTTGTGGGAAACAAAGTATGAGTGGTGGTCATGCAATTAAGTCGCATGGTAGATCAACAGTTGCAAAGACCTCATAGAAACATTATGAAAAGTGCCTGATGCCCTCAGCTAGCTACGTAGTAACTACAGAGCCGAGTTAAGGCTGCTCTAACTGTGCCTGCTCAGAATTCTGTGTAACTGCAGAACTTTCCGGCAGGTAGAACTAGTGTTATATATAAAAACACATATTAAGAGATGGATGTTAATATTATGTTCTGGGGTATTTGAGAAAATAAGTGTGTACATTTACTGACTTATTCCAAATGAGGTTTATTTGTTATACGTTATATCCTTACTAGGTTTTTAGTATCCTTACTATTTGTATGTGTAAGCTTAAAGGAGTAGTTCACTTTTGAAAAAAACTTTTGCTGATAAGTTACTCACCCCCATGTCATCCAAGATGACCATGTCATTCTTTCTTCGGTCGAAAAAAAATTAAGGTTTTTGATGAAAACATTCCAGCATTTTTCTTCATATAATGGACTTCAGTGGGAACCAAATGGTTCAAGGTCCAAAAGACACTTTCAGTACAAACTGCAATCTGTTTAGGGCTTTAAAGGGCTTTAAACGATTCCAGATGATGAATAAGTGTCTTATCAAGTGAAACGATCGCTCATTTAATAAATAACAAAGTTTAAGTTTTATAAGCTCAAATGTAATGTGACGCACGTTTGTGACTCTCCTGCTCGAACTCGTTCATCAAAACGAACAAATCTTTTTCCAAGTCATTTGGTTCATTCAACGGACGAAACAAACGAATTGACTCGGAAAAAGATTCACTCATTTTGATGAACGAGTTCGAACAGGAGAGTCACGAACGTGCATCGCAGAACAGAGCAAGGCGAGCATTTGAGTAAACGTAAACTTTTTTTTTAAACAAGCGATCGGTTCGCTTGATATGACCCTTATTCATCATCTGAAATCGTTTAAAGCCCTTTGAACAGTTTGCAGTTTGTACTGAAAGTGTCTTTTGGACCTTGAACCGTTTGGTTTCCACTGAAGTGCATTTTATGGAGAAAAACGCTGGAATGTTTTCATCAAAAACCTTAATTTCTTTTTGACCGAAGAAAGAAAGACATGGACATCTTGGATGACATGGGGGTGAGTAAATTGTCAGCAAAAGTTTTCAAAAGTGAACTACTCCTTTAATTAGTTACAGTGCGCAGGTGTCTCACATTTAGGTTTCATTTTCATTTAGTTGATGTTCAGGACTGGTACGCCTTGCCGGTGAGTGACTATAAACTATCATTCTATTAATTCAGATAAAAACTTAATATCACATGATTGTGTAATTTTATCAGTTAGTTCTGGTGTTTGTGTTTACATTGCAGGTTTACAAATCCAACTAACGGGCTAGCGTAGAAGTAGCTTTCAGACTACCTAGTTTGTGGATGAGTATTGTGTGTGCACAATAAAAGTTCATAAAGTGTCTTGAGTTGTAGCCGCCATGTAAACCCTTCCAGTGGGGAGTTCGAGCTATAGCAGGTAACTTAGTAGAGGCACAGACAAAATGATGTCTGCTCAGACCCACCTAAAGTATACAGTTGTAATCGCAGCGTTTATGCTACATCAGAGCAACGGTTTAACTTAATCTGATGCCAAGTTTACATTGCAAAGGTGGCACAGACGCACTTCTGAAGTGGCATTTAGGTGTCTTTACACAGATTGTGATAATGTTGCTCGGAATACAGTGATTACGGCTGTATGCTTTGATTTTAGGGGCTAAGATGGGTCAGAGCAGGCATAATTCATTCTGACTTTTATGCAGCTTTACATTGAATTTAGAGCAGGCACAGAGCAGTCTTTATTTGGCTTCTGTGTCACCTTTGCAATGTAAAGAAAACATTTATCACATAAAATTCTCCCTCAAAGCATCTTGAGTTTAGCCTGCTCAGAATTCTGTGTGAAGACAATGCAGCATAAAAGCCAGACCAAATTAGTCCGTTTGTACACCGCAAAGGTGGCACAGAAGTGCTTGAAGCAATTTTGTACACAGAATCAAAAGTGGTATACATGCATTTACAAAGCAATTTTAGCTGCATATTGTTCTACAAGAGGCTTAGGAACAATTTAGTGAAGCTTGAGCAGGCACTGAGTGAGCAGCCTTACCTCAGCTGCCTTTGTATAACAATATGAAGGTAAAAAAGCTGTGTTAATGTATTTAAACCACCTCGGAGTGTGTAAAGACACATAATTGCCACTTCAGGAGAGCTTCTTTGACACATTTGTGGTGTAAATGTGCCACCCGATGCACCCTTTAATTTTGGTTAAATTAGCTTGTACGAATTATTTCAGGAATTCAGTCAATAAAAAAAAAAAACATAAGCCAATAAAACTCTATTTGCATGCACACTTAGCCACTCTTGTAAATGTATGAATGGCATTGCCCAAAAAAAAAAAAATATATATAAAGTGTAATTTACTTAAAGCACTAAATTTTCAAACTAAACCCTTTCACAAAATAAGTTTGTTGGGCTTTGAAGCACATAAAATATACTTTCTAGTCACCATGTTCACGGTTATTGTGATTAACTCTAGCTTCACGTCACACGTGTAAACACTAAAATCACCTTGAGAGCAGATGGTTAGATAAAGAGTCTCAGAAAAGAAAGTGAAGTTTGAAAAAAAAAAAAAAACTTTAGCATAATTTGTTTGGTCTCACATGTGGTTTAATATCGTGTTTGTTATCTAATGCAATCCTGCAAATCGTCTTTAAAATATCTGCAAAACCGTGAATTTGACAATGTCACATTGGTTTTGTTAAAAAACAAGCGTTTTATTCCCAAACAAACAACATAAATGATAACAAACAGATGGTCTAAATTAAAAACACAAGCCTTACCTTTGAGAAGTGTTTTCATTAGAAACAACAGGTAGAAGTTACTTGTGTTCCTCACAAATTCTGTTCAGGGAACAAACCCCCATAGGCAGGGTCCAAGCCGTGCAAAGCCAAAAAGGTAGCAGGTGTCACAGAAAATCCCGTGGATAATAGTGTGAAGAGGTGTTAAGTTAAATGTGCGAGGGCGAGTGCTTTGAGGTTTGTTGGCCGCTGTGAACTTGAGCCATACAGTACAGTTTATCTCCAACTCTGTAAAAAGAGTGTGAGGGGGAAAATCTGAGGTCACAGCTTCAGTTCCTACCACAGGCACAGCAGATGTTGGAGAGCTGACCACGTGCTTGCTCCCGGGCAAACGCGCGCACATAACATACGCGGCGCGTGCCAGTTTCCAAGGAGAAAGAAAGTATGGTGAACTGTTGTTTTATTTACTTATGTTAAAGTTAACCAAAAAATATTTTAGCGGATTGTCCTGCTCAATAAAACCAACTTCAACAGCCTATGTCAGCCAGCCAAATTTCAACAGCCCATGTCATTTTTCTTCCGTGGTAAACAAAATATAGACGCCAGATTAATAGCTAGCTAACGTTACTAAGCGCTGTGCCTTTGACAATAAATACAAATACTTAAGAATTTTCAAGCATGAATTTAAATTAAACGTACAGTATGCAATTTTTGGCCACCAGGGGTCACTCATTTAAAATAATAACAAAAGACGTACTTTGATGACGTCGGGAAAGAGCGTGGGCTCACGGGAGTTGTTGTCGCTGTCAACCAGCTCAGCTCATGACATGACATCGTTTCACAAAATATACGGATATACGGCATCTCTCTGTAGATTTAGCTTGTCAAGAAGCTTTAAATGCAACCCCAATGTTTACCTGTGTCATGCTTCTCCTGTCCCAAACCCTTCTCGGGTCATATTTTTCACCCGTACGTTTGAGCTTTACTGAGCTGGCTGTAGCAGCAGAACGTGCAGGCAAAGCGTAATCGTGGTCCATAACTATAATACAGACGAATATATTTATATTACGCCCCTTCAATGAATGACCTATTTAGAACATTTTTCATACTGTATATAGGGCGCACCGGATTATAAGGCACATAAGATACTGCAGTCAAACGTTTGACTGGATTTGCGTTATGCATCCACTATGTGCTAAGGCCCCGTCCACACTACTGCGTTTTCGTTTAAAAACGGAGACCTTTTGCTACGTTTGCACCTCCCGTCCACACTAAAACGAGGAAAACGAAGACCTAAAACGGTGAAGTTTAGAAACGCTGCAGCGTCGTTTTGCGTTTTGAATCTCCGGAGGGCGTTTAAGTGTGGACGAGACAAAACGGAGAACTTCAGAAACGCTGACGCAGAGGCTGACGCTCAGCTCTATGATTGGGTGTTATCAGTCATGACGTGTCCTTCCCTGATTCGTCAATCACTGTTTACACCGGCACGCGTATGCCCAGTGTTGGTGAATGGTCACGTGATCCGCGTTTTCAGGCGTTTTCATAAAACGCTGGAGTGGACGGAGATCGTATTCGTTTTAATTCTCCGTTTTTAAACGAAAATGCAGTAGTGTGGACGGGGCCTAAGGCTAAAGGGAATGTAGTGAGTGCGCGGCGCCGGATGTGAGGCGTTTATTTAGCAAGCATGAGCGCGCTGGAGCGGGCACGTAACTTACATTCGCAGCCTGACTCATGTGAGTATGCAATGTGCGCGGCTCGCTGTCAGCAACAGCTGGCTGATTTGAATAAGACGACCCAGTTACTGTGAATGGGGAGCGCTTTATGCATTCTGTGACGCGCGAGCAGCACCGGGGACAGCGCTCGTGAGCGGGCACGTGATTTACACACATAAAAATACGTACAACTTTTTTTTCTTCGTCATTTTCTTTGCTTTATTGGCGGTAGTCCAGTGTACCCCTTTGTGTTTGGCGGGTTTCGCCGGGTTCCACGGGAAGCTAGAGAAAATAGGAGTCAAAGGTTCTATGACGCCATAGATGGGCGACGAAACTGAAATAAAGAAACGTCCCGTGTCTTCGAATTAAACTATAAATTTCTCCGTATTTTAAAGTTGGTGGAAACTGTCGGGATAATGTAAGTACACATCTAATATAAATATATACCATAGATACAGTTATTTTTGCTATTTTTAAAGCAGAAAAATTACATATTGTGGCTTTAATTGCCTGGGATCCTCACTGGCCACAGACAAACTGCAGTTAAAGGGATAGTTCTCCCTAAAATGAACATCAAGTCTAGCTAGCTGCTATGCTAGCTGGCAACAAAGGATTCCATTCATTGTGCTAAGCTAAGCTAGCGCCGACCCTGTCAAACTAAAACAATGCATGCACTGAGACAAAAATGCATTTGCACACATATCTAAATGTAGGAAAGAATGAGAATAAGCATATTTAAAAAAACGGTGCTTTTTGCTTTCGAATCGAATCATCCTGGGCCTCCATAACACCTCAGCAGTGCCACATGCTGATTGCCTCCATGCCATGCGGCATAGAAGCAGTCATTTCTGCAAAAGGATTCCCAACCAAGTATTGAATGCATAACTGAACATAATTATTTGAAGTTTGACTTTTGTTTTGTATTAAAAACACTTCTTTTATTGGTCGGATGAAATATGCCAATTTTTTGAGATCGGAATTTTGGGTTTTCATGAGCTGTATGCCAAAACAATAAAAGACCTGAAGTATTTCAGTTGGTGTGCAATGAATGTAAAATATATGAAAGTTTAATTTTTATCATTACATTATGGAAAATAATGAACTTTATCACAATATATTAATTTTTTGAGAAGGACCATATGGGCTAGAAGGCGCCTCATAGTGGTCTAACCCTAACACTACACCAGACCTAAACCTACTCATAACCGAAGCATGTTATAGGCTATTGACGCTAAAGGGTGCCATGTCAAAAGCGTCACCTACATGACGCCCTAGGATGAGAATGCGTTGAAAATAAATGTTCACCAGCCTATAACTGCCTGTGTTTTTACTGTAGTAATTTCCTGTGTGTTGTTTTTACAAAAATGTGTACATTACACATTTTAGAGTGTATTGTGAATTGTAATAACATGTACTGTAGGTAAAATATGTAAAAACACATACATGTACTGCATTTATTTTTACAATAAATGGCTGTGAAGTAATAGCGTATAATTACAGTATATTGCTGGTGAGTCTGATCATTCGGACTTGTTGTTTCCGGCCGACCACACGTTAGCGATTGGCTATGGGAGATCCTGAGTGACTCTAGGCAGATCCAATAGTTTTGAACTTTAACAGAGAACCCGCCTACAAGGAAGTAAACGTTTCTCAACGATAGAGGCCAGACTCTCTGTACAAATGAAATGTACGAGAGTCTGGTTGGACCAGGCAATCCCAAAACTGTGTCCCACTGTAAAAATAGTGGTAGGCATATGACTTTGGAGTAAATAATGATGATAGAATCTGTGAACTCTTCAAATAAGCTTCAAGACTGACATTTTTTTTTCTTTAGATGAAACTTAAAATAACCATATGTATATCCAGTCTTCTAATTATTGATGGAGTTCCATTCCCTTGTGGCAAACACTGAAAATACAGAGCATCTAAATTGACTTTTTCTGAGAGGAATAACACAGTCCCCTCTTTCTCCAGCCCTTGTGGTGGTAACCTAATAAACACAAAGTGATGGTATCAATTTAACTTGCAATAGAAAGATCAGGACAGGTTTGTGACATTTACCTTAGATAAAATAATTCACACTACTACACTTCTTTGGTATGGGAAATCTAGATTTTAATACATTTGTAACCCTACAGTGTGTTTGTACACCCTTTGGCTTAACTTTAGGATCCAGAGAATGTGAGCGGAGTGGAGTGACGAGCGGGCGGATCTTGGACAGAGCGCAGAGCGGCATTTTAAAAAGAACAGAGCGTCGCCCTATAGGCTAGATATGGAAAGCAATTCTTTTCTCTTTTTTTTAAGTTTGAGCCAATTTAAACTGTTATCCACGCGCTCTCTGTGCAAAAGTTCAGATAGATATAAGTCTGGTGGCCTAATAGTTAATTTACTCTTTAATTTAACACTTTGATGTAGGCCTATAGCCAAATTTTTATTTATATAATCAGGCGCATTGATTCGTTTAATTTTACAGCTTTTTTTGTGTACAAATGATTTAGGCCTAAGCCAATTTAAATTTTAATAGTGTGCGCTGCACAAAAGTTCTGTTAGGCTTATCGAAATCTGACCTAATAATTAATTACTTTTAAACATTTATGTATATATATCTTTTTACATTTTTGGTTATATTATTAGGCCCATTTATTCGTTTAAATTTTTCCCCACCTCCACCCCCCCTCTTCGGGGGACAACTTTATTTATATTATATTATATTATATTATATTATATTATATTATATTATATTATATTATATTATATTATACAGAAACTGTGATATCTTTTATAAAAACTTTTGCTGATAATTTACTCACCCCCATGTCATCCAAGATGTCCATGTCTTTCTTTCTTCAGTCGAAAAGAAATTAAGGTTTTTGATTAAAACATTTCAGCATTTTTCTTCATATAATGGACTTCAATGCGAACCAAACGGTTCAAGGTCCAAAAGATATTTTCAGTGCAAAATGCAAACTGTTCAAAGGGCTTTAAACGATTCCAGACGATGAATAAGGGTCATATCAAGGGAAACGATCGCTCATTTATAAAAAAAATAAAAAAGTTTAAGTTTTGTAAGCTCAAATGCTCACATCAAAATGCATCAAAATGAACGAATCTTTTTCCAAGTCTATTCGTTCACTTCGTTCGTTGAATGAACCAAATGACTCGGAAAAAGATTCGTTCATTTTGAGTTTGAACGGGAGAGTCACAATGTGTGTCAAAGAACAGAGCAAGGCGAGCATTCAAGCTTATAAAACTTAAAGTTTGTTATTTATTTATTACATGAGCGATCGTTTCACTTGATAAGACCCTTATTCGTCTGGAATCGTTTAAAGCAAAAACCCTTAATTTCTTTTCGACTGAAGAAAGAAAGACACGAGCGGGCGGATCTTGGACAGAGCCCAGAGAGGCATTTTTAAAAGGACGGAGCATCACTCTATAGGCTAGATATGGAAAGCAATTCTTTTCTCTTTTTTTAAGTTTGAGCCAATTTAAACTGTTATCCACGCGCTCTCTGTGCAAAAGTTCAGATAGATATAAGTCTGGTGGCCTAATAGTTAATTTACTTTTTAATTTAACACTTTGATGTAGGCCTATAGCCAATTTTTATTTATATAATTAGGCGCATTGATTCGTTTAATTTTACAGCTTTTTTTGTGTACAACTGATTTAGGCCTAAGCCAATTTAAATTTTAATAGTGTGCGCTGCACAAAAGTTCAGTTAGGCTTATTTTAATCTGACCTAATAATTAATTACTTTTAAACATTTATGTATATATCTTTTTTACATTTTTGTTTATATCATTTTTGGTTATATTATTAGGCCCATTTATTCGTTTAATTTTTTTCCCCACCTCCACCCCCCCTCTTCGGGGGACAACTTTATTTATATTATATTATATTATATTATATTATATTATATTATATTATATTATATTATATTATATTATATTATATTATATTATATTATATTATACAGAAACTGTGATATCTTTTTTAAAGTAGTTCACTTTTAAAAAAACTTTTGCTGATAATTTACTCACCCCCATGTCATCCAAGATGTCCATGTCTTTCTTTCTTCAGTCAAAAAGAAATTAAGGTTTTTGATTAAAACATTCCAGCATTTTTCTTCATATAATGGACTTCAATGGGAACCAAACGGTTCAAGGTCCAAAAGATATTTTCAGTTAAAATGCAAGCTGCTCAAAGGGCTTTAAACGATTCCAGACGATGAATAAGGGTCTTATCAAGCGAAACGATCGCTCATTTAAAAAAAATGACAAAGTTTAAGTTTTATAAGCTCAAATGCTCACATCAAAATGCATCAAAATGAACGAATCTTTTTCCAAGTCAATTCGTTCGTTTCGTTCGTTGAATGAACCAAATGACTCGTTCATTTTGAGTTCGAACAGGAGAGTCACAATGTGCGTCAAAGAACAGAGCAAGGCGAGCATTCAAGCTTATAAAACTTAAACTTTGTTATTTATTTATTAAAAGAGCGATCGTTTCACTTGATAAGACCCTTATTCGTCTGGAATCGTTTAAAGCAAAAAAACTTAATTTCTTTTCGACTGAAGAAAGAAAGACATGGACATCTTGGATGACATGATATGGGGGTGAGTAAATTATCAGCAAAAGTTTTTTTAAAAGTCGTTCGGCTGGTTGTTCGATGCCAAACTGGTCCAAATTCGTTTAATTTTACAGTAGTTTGTATGTACAATGGTTATAATTTAAATTTTTATCGTGCGCGTTGAGCAAAAGTTCAGTTATCAAAATTCTGGCCTTTAGTTAATTTACTTTTAAAACTTTTATGTATATTTTTGTTTATACAATTTTAAATTCATATTATTAGGCCCATTTATTCGTTTCATTTTACAGGACTTTTTGTGTAGGCTACATTCCTGTTCTTACATAGGCTAGTCCTAATATGTAATTTGAAATGGAGCGATTTGAGTGGAGCACGAAGCAAACTGCATTAAGCGCCGAGCGATAATAAGCGGAGCGGCCTGGTGTGGCTCTTGAACCGCTCCACTCCGCACATCCCAAATTTTTCTTGATTGATTTCCTGTCCTCAAGATCCCCCGTGTTGCCAGGCTCTGAGCTCTCTGGTGTGGCGGCGTGAGTTCCCTGGCGAGTTGGATTTCGAGCTTCGGGTCACGTCACGAGCTCAAGCCCTCCACCAAGGACAGCAAGTTTGTTATTTCCTGTCCAAAACAAAGATTATAAGAACATGTCAACACATAAAAGTTTTTACAGCAGAATTGAATTCTGTTTGCATCACTGATTCTGTTATTTTCCTATTGAATATCATGAAGCTGCATGAAACAATCTGTAGGCTACTGTATAAAGCGCTATATAAAAGAAAGTGACTAGACTATGACAACAACATTAAAATAAACTCTGATCACTCCACATATTTGAAAATAGATAAATGATAAATGAGAACAATCCTACTCTGTCTGACTGTTCTACTTCCTCACACCTGAAATCTCCTGAACTTGTCCAATCTACAAGAAGATCATTCTCTAATCCATTTATGCTGTAAGATCTGATCTAACGTCGGCCGTTTAGTTGGATCCTTTGTAAGGCACTGCCTAATCAGATCACTGCATTCTGTACCAATATTAATAAGAAGAGAGCTGGTTAGTCATGATGAGCATGTGACTTGGCATCTAAACATGATTAATGTAAGGTAACATGTTCTTTATCGTTACTTTAAAGGTGAAGTATAGAGTTTCTGCATCAAAGGGATGCATGCTTCACGCCTCAAACATCACAAAGGCAACTCTTACTGGTTCAGAAAAATCTTACTTCACCTTTAACTGTTTCTGTACAGAGCCTTTGCTTTATGTGTGTGCTTATCAAAGATTTCAATATTATTCACTCACCTTTGGATAAGTTGGGGTTCACAAATACAACTTTGCCCCGTGTGAGTTCCTTTCTACTGATAAAAGGAGGACATGCGTTCGTCATCTCATATAACAGCACGCCTAGAGCCCAGGCATTTGTTGGGACGGCGTGGAATCTCCTATCCGTGAAGACTTCAGGTGGGTAGTACGTTCTTAATCCTGTAAGCAAGACATTCGCAAGTTGTTGAGCTTTTTTGTTTTTCCAAAGTGTCAAATAATCAGTAGGTCACTACATTCAGGTTTCCACACTGCCAAAATGCTCACCAAAGTATTCTCTGCTCTCGTAGCCGTCACTACTAAGAAGCTGACCGCACCCAAAGTCAATCAGCTTGAGCTCTAGCGTGCTTTTGTTGATCAGGAAGTTTCCCGGATGAATGTCATTATGAAAGACGCCATGTTCGATGCAGTGTTGTACTGCCAGCACAGCCTGCCTCATGATGACCCGTGCCGTTGGTTCATCAAGCTCAAAGCTACGGTGCATTAAGTCCAACAAGCTCTCACAAGGTTCGGGGTACTCCATGACGAGAGTGAATTTTCGAGGGTGTTCAAACCACTCGTACAGCTGTATGACGTGGGGGCTTCTGGGTTCTTGCCTCATCATTAGAAGCAGCGCCACTTCTGTTACGAGAGGTTCGGGATGCCCAGGCTAGAGAAAAGTAGAAGAGAGAGAAGATTTTTTAATGTACTTTTCTTTGAACTGTAGATACAGAGCCTTTTCAACTTAAAGTTATTTGGTGCTTCTAGGCTTACTTGTCTGTAACATGTACAGCGAATGCTTCCTACAGGTGTATTGACTACAGTAATCAGCACTTAAACAACTAAATACACATTCAACAACTTACTATAGCAAGATAACGATTGTTGTCAGTCTTGCTGATCTGCTTGATGGCAACCTGCAAAAAAACAAACAAAAAATGTTTCAATAACAGTAACAGTATTCAGGCACCTGACCTTGCACTAGGTATCAAACCACGATCTGTAAATTGTACTTGCAAAAATGTTTCTACAGTTCGGTAATATTTACCTTTTTGCCATCAAGTTTCCGCATTCCCTCGTACACCCTGCCAAATCCCCCGGACCCAATCATCTCTCCTACCTCGAAGAGAGAAGCAAAGGACTCTGAAAAACAGAAACAATATTAGAAATAAATAAGCTCGCTAGATCCTTTGAAAATAACAATAAAAGGTTACTGACTCAGATAAGTAACATGAATTGACTACATGTACTTACAATAGAGTTAAGGTTAGGATTAGTTAAGTATGCATCAAATTTACTGTACTTTAGTAAGTAGATGATGTACTAATTTGTAACTATGTCACTTTAAAATAAAGTGTTACCGGTAGCAATTTATTTCACAGTCCTGTTCCCCACGTACTTATTAAAGTTATTACAATAACTGGGTACTTGATACGCACCTTCACCTAAACCTAATCTTAACCCCTGTAGTTACCTTTTATGACATTAATATGGGGAGAATAATATTATTCTCAGAAAACAAGCCTTAAGATATTTTTAGTGGAATACAAGACAACAATACTGTTTAAAATAATGATCAAGAAATAATGACTGTAGATTTACCATGATTGTGCTTGACGGCTGAGTGATCTGGGTCAGGCTCTGGGTCCAGATCTGGTGGAGGGATGAAAGGCTCCACAACATTCACAGCACTGCAGTGACAACGGCAGCCGAAATGACGTTTCATAGCCTTCCACACCCTCCTGAGGAAACCACAAAGTCCTTTCTTCTCTCTATATTCTGAAATGCAGAAAAAAAATATTGAAAAGACAACATCTCTGACCTCAAATTAAATGATGACAAAATTACACGTTACTGTTCGATTCTTATCTGTAATGTTACAAATCCAAGTAATGCAAATATTATACGACGGCCCTGCTTCTGCTTAATGCCTGCATAAATGTCCCAAAGTCTTATTTCACAATATTTACTATTGAGAATTATTTAAAAAAATTCTTGCAATTGCAAATGTTACGGAAACATTCTGTTTTATAATTTTGCAAACATTATGGAAACAAAAAGAACATTTTAACGTTAGCTAAATTATGCTGAGCAACGGTAAATATGACTAGAGATTAACCTGTTAAATACTTGAAGCAGTCTTATGCATAAAATAGCAAAATCAGTACACTTTACACCTCTCACTCCTATTTCAATCTCACCTGTTGAGCTCTTGTTGGCAGGAGACGCCTCCACGGCACCCTGAGCTATCAGGCCATTAGCGGTCACTGCTGGCTCCACAGGAACCTGACCTGGCAGCGGAGGACACATCATCTCTCGGAGGCTGTCGGACCCGGACAAACTCCAGAGGCCACAACTGTCCTCCTGTTCTCTTGGGCCGTCCGATCCCAAGCCACTCCACCTCCACTCAACGATGTATGACCCCCTGCTGCTGAGACTCAACTCTCCGACTCTCTGACTGGATCTGGAGCGGCCTGTCACTGGAATATTTCAAATATCAAAAACAGTTGTTGTTTTTTATTAAATAATATAAATAATCAATGTCAGAGGTCACTTGTTATAAGTATATTGTTATAATAGAAGTGGACGCACATCCACCATCTGGGTTCTGCTGGCTGCCGCTCTGCCTCTTCCGGTGATCCAGACCTGTGAACACAGAACCAGAAAACTCAGAAGACAGAGGAGCTGAACCGTCAGAACTGAGTCTCCAAACCTCCAGACCAGCCGTCTGAGTGGAAGCAGCTCTCCCGGATCTGGAGAGGGCTGAGCCTAGAATATTTCAGACATCACATAGTTAGTAATGTTTTGATAATAATCAATGTTCAATGTCAGCAGTCAGTTATAAATTGCTCCTATATAGTTGCTCAAAATGGAAAGGTTTATTTTACATGCAATAAGGAATCAAATACACGTGATCACTTAACTGAGAAATTTGGCGGATCAAATAAGTTATCTCGCACAAGTTTCTGCACATTAATTTAGTCCATCATCATCATACCATAACATAAACAAATGAAAAGTAGAGCACTCACCTCGTCTTTCACTCTTCTGAGCCATCAACGTCCTTCAACCTGCAATAGAAACAAGAAGTTAATTTCAAAATACAATACAAAAAAATAACACAGTACAACCCTCAGAAATACTACCAAAATAAATCAAATAAATAAATAAAACAAAAATAAAAAATAAAAAAACAAATAAATTAAATAAAAAATTACATAAAACAACAAACTCCTAGTTTAACTCCCAGATAATAACAATTAGATAGAAGCCTCCTCAGAAATAAGATAACTGTTAAATGTTAATAAAAAAAAGAGTGGGAAAAAGGGAAAGGATCCTCCGATCTACTCCTCCTAGATGATCAGTTTTTTTCTCAGGAATTCTCCAAACAGCTTCGAAATCTGCACAGAAAATACTCGGCAAAACTCTCTGAATTCGCCTCGTCTCTCGAGCAAAAGATTGCGATGTTTGAGTGTAAACAAACAAATTCATAAACCAACACGCGTCGTTATAGCAACTAAAATTTGAATCATCATTGTACGCAGACCTGAAGTCGTCATCAATTCATTTACATTTACTTTTAAACATCCCGATGTATTTAGAAGTTTTTGAGCTTTTTATGATACTTTGCATTAATTCTATATTTTTTTAATGGAGCTATTTTTTCCATTAGAATATATATATATATACTTATTTATTTATTAAAAAAAAAACAATATGCAACATTTCTCATCAAAATACAGTGCCAGCCTATTAAAAATTTTCAACTAGAAGAGCGCCATCTAGTGGATTTAAAAAGTAGGCTGCCTATAGCTTCCTATATAAATACATAGAAAGGCTTTTTGATTATATTTGTTGTTTTAGACATGATTTCTCGATCTTATTGAGGTTTTTTTTTATTTAGATATACATTTAGATATTCTAAAAGACTACTTTTTTAGATACGTATCAGGTTTTGCATTATGATTACAATCAATGAAACTGCATTTGAGCGAGATTTTTTTTTTTTTTTCATTTATTGATTTTATTTTGCATATTCTGAACACTTTTTTTCTGCACAGTGGCTGATCTGTAACTTGTACCACCAAAAGTTTCTCTGAGTTTTCCTATTTTTTCGTATTTCCCATTCATTTCCTATATCGGTCGGAGGAAGTGTGTCTATTTTTTTACGACCCTTTAACAGATCAGAATCATCTCCTTAATTTTGTGTGTGTGTGTGTTCATATAGGTAATAATGTCAAAAAAATTTCTTGAATCAATGATCAGCACTGAAGAAAAATGAGAAAAAAAAAATGTGTGTGTGTTTTCTTATTTATTTTAAGACATTTGGGTATGTTTATGGTGGTCGACAGATAATAATTTTATAACTTCTATTGCGCTCTTGGCGTTTTGAAAAAATTCAAAACGTAAAATTTTTCGGTCATTTTTGGACTAAGAAACCCAGAGGGATACAACAGATAGAGTAGGCCTACTTGCATGCTAATAATGACTACTGACTTTTAAAGCCAGACACACACGCTTCTGAAAAGCTTGTTGTGTGTGTGAGAGAGAGTCGTGTGTGGCCTAAAGATTGTGCTTTCCGCGTCCGCATAAGATTGCCTTTATGTCGAAGTGGTATTAGTATGGAAGCTTGTTTCCGCCACAAAATACAATACAATTAAAACAGGGTTCCCGTCTGTCTATCATTTCAGGGCAGTTGTGTTCATATGCGAAATCGGAAGCCAAGAGCGCAATAGAAGTTATAAAATTATTATCTGTCGACCACCATAAACATACCCAAATGTCTTAAAATAAATAAGAAAACACATACACAAAAAAAAAATAATAATAAATAAATAAAAAATTAAGTTACCCTTTAAATTTGGAGGCTAAATCTGGCAAAATTATAAAACAGTGCTTTTAACTAAAGCCACAATGCAATCAATCCTGGATTTTTATTTTTTTTCCTGGGCATCTGTGAATTGCTACCTGCCATATGAGGCCTGTGTCTCTCCTGGGTATCTTAGCAACGGGAGCTACGCATAGGATGAGGGAAAAAAACACAGTTGGGCTATGCCACCAATAAAATGGTTATGTTGAATATAATATAAAGTGTACATTTTTTACAGAAGTAGGCCTACATTTTAAAAGTAAATGAACATACTGGTTGTCGAAAAGGTCATATCTCAGTCTCCCTCTATATGCAATACCTTGCAAAAGTCTATGTTAGTATTTTTCACCTTTCACCATTCAAATTGGTTTCATGGTGATCCCAGATGGACTCTCAGATCTTCGTTTGGATCATACCGGCTGTTGTCAGACTCTTTGCTCATACACAAATCTCACTGGATTATTAGCCTACAAGTAATGGCAAAAGGAATGTTAGGAAATGTAATATTTCCTTCTGACACACTACACCAAAAGATATAAACTTAACCATTGTTTGGTAAATATACCTAAGACGTTTGCACAAATCTGTATATAAACTATACTGTTTATAATCGCATTTTAGATATGTCCACATTTGAACTGCTTTAAACTTCTTATTTTTACATCAGAAGATATTTGAGTAAGCTGAAACCCAACATTTGCATTCAAAAGTGTAATTCGGAAATCCTGTCGTCACTGGCGCGCAATGAATTCTGGGGCAATGAATACATTCTTTACTGCACATGCACTCAAAAAAGTGAACTAGGAAGGTTGTGCACTTTACATAATATATTTATATTTAGTTTACTTATAATAATTGTGCTTGACTTGAAATGTTTTTTCCTATTAAGGTCTATGTAATTATGTCTCAACTTAACAGTACAAAATCCTTACGTGTTGTCTAAACACAAACCATTTCGTAAAAAATTTCCTACATCCAGAGGGTGGCAGTATAGTGTCAGCCAACTGTCATTTTGCCCAACTTAATTTGATTGTGTTCAATCTGCTTAAACATATGTGCAATTTAAGTTTACTTAATCCGTTTGTGTTGTATTACGTGATTGATTTGTTGCATTAACTGAAACTGGGCGGTGCTTGTTAATTCCCAGCATGCTTTGCATATGGTTGAATTAAAGGTCCAATATGTAACTTTTTTTATTGCCTGTGTTTGAAGGGGTTGTAATCCCACATCGCAATGATCCACTTTTTGGGTTTTGATATTACCTCTGAAGGCCAATATATACGTGAGGTCTCCGGGTCGGATTTCCTGCGAAATCCATCAGATGTGACGTGCATGCGTGCTCCCAAGCCTCTCTATCCTTACAGTCTATCATGCGACCAATGGCACTTCAGCTGATGACATGGAGTCTGATAACAGCCCCAAACGTCCTGCCTCCAGCACAACACAGACTCCAACACAACACCAAAAAAATATAAAAACAAAAAAAAAGTTTGTGAATCGTGAATCTGATCGACTCCGGACGAAAACGCGGATCAACATCGGCAACATATTAGTAGTGAAATAGCAAGGTAAACTACATGAAACATGACATGAATACAAAAGAATGTTCCAGGATAACAAAAAGTAGGTGCTATGATGTAACTTATTTTATTTACTAGACCTACTGACTAACGTCGTCACCCGACTATCATATTGTTTATACACATTTACAGACACGTTCAGTACAGTAATGTTACTTCTTACGATCTTACTGATAAACTGAAACTGTTCAGTTTAGTTCACTAACCGTTTTCCTTATCATATTATACATTCACCTATGTTGACATTGCTGATTGTGATACACGAATAGTTAGTGAAATGCCTTATATATAACATCACATGTCGGCTAAATGCAGTTTATTGTAACATTATCATGGTACGAGCACAGAGCATTAGTTCAACGTCAAGCTGATTAAAGTAGGCTATTATTGAAACTGTAGTGGGAGTTTACATTAGTTCCCAGATGCTTTCGCCGTTACGTTGAAAGTCTCCGTGAGTCCGTGTGGCCGCTAGTGCTTGCTCTTAAGATCGAGCACGCCAAAGAACACGAGCGCTCTTGTTGCATTCTGAAACATCACCGCTAGATGCCGCTAAAAAATCCATAGAGCACCTTTAAGAGAGAATAAACGTTAAAATTAAGTGTTATTTTACATATTTTTTTGAGAAATTTAGAAAAAATTGAAGATTTTTTTAGTGTGTAATTATGTTTAATGTAAAATTACATTGGAATTATTAGAACCATTTAAATTACAGTGCCATTATGAAGAAGAGTGGAGCATTTTGTTTGGTTGTCGACTGATTTCATTCTTTTCTATTGCTTTGGATGAAGGAGCATGTTAAACTTAGCATTTAAGATGCTAATATGTGCTACTGCTAGCAAATAGCTAGCTATACCTTTTACAGCCCACGTGATCAAATAGTTGCGCGCATTTTGGCAACGGAAGTGGTGTTGTTTCCCACTGACTATAACGTGTTAACAACTCCGAAAGTTTATTAAAACGGTTTCCCAGCTTCAAAATGTCTGATTGTTGCGTTTACGGTTGCACTAATCAATATTCCACCAAGGGGCTTAAGTTTTATATTTCAGACAGAATCACGGCCGTTTCAGAAGAACCGGCGGCTGCAGGCGATTAAACGTGTTGATTGGAGCGAGGACATAATAAAAATCCGCTTGCGTAGCTTGACCGAGCTCGACACACTGCTGATTCTCGCCATTCTTCTGTTCCCAATATGCGCGCGCATACGTTGCCACGTCATCATTGTGTACAAACCGTAAAAGGGTCTATAGTCTGTCAATTTAATTATGCGTCACTGAAGTAATATTAATGTATAAATGAACAAAAAAATATCTGAATCATGTCAGGAAGCCTTTAAAAATTCACCTTGAGACTATGTTTGTTTAACGTAATCCAGTTATGTGGAACCTGTTGACGAAATAAAATTAATTAAAGCCAACATATAATTGAGTGTGGGAGGGATGCAGCTTCTGAATTGTGATTCCGCAACAATCAGCAGAGTTCTATGAAGGGACATGGCAAAGAAAAAAATGAGATGGAAGGAAAAATTACTGTACAATGCTTTTGGGTTCTCTTGCCCCAATAAACTTTGCATTCCCTCGCAAAACCGTCACCAAAACCAAAAAATCTATATTGCATAT